ACAGGACGGACAATCCATTGCAAGACATTTCTGCCGAAGTCGACAGGCTTTCTTTGTTGTAATGCCGGTTTTTCTTGTCTAACAGCGGCGGTTTTTGCGGGTAGTATATGGCTTAGTTGCCGCACAAGGCTACTTCTGTTGATTTAATACGCGGATTCGACAGAATTGCTGGATATTATTGAATCCCTGTGACCAGATGTTGGAAAGGCTAGCCAGCCACACTGCTCTCATTAGGTGGCTAGGGAACCATTTGTAATCGATTTCTCGTAGGATAGAAGTAGGAGCAATAATACATCTGTGAGAAGAGCTTACTTAGTTGGTAGCAAGTCTCACGACGTCACATCAGTCTCGAAACACCATTAGAGACCAAACCGTAGAGAAAAGACCCCTGGTGTGACAAGGGTTCAACAAGGAAGGCTTGGAGCAATAGCTCAATTTATCTAATAACAGTCTTTGGTATCAAAGGTCCTTAGTTTCCCTCAAGGCCTCGTTGACCAAAGACGTGTTTAAATACAAGAAGTCAGTGAAGGACTTTGCCCTAGGTCCCGTGATCGTAGCCTTTGTGTAACCGTGTGATATTAGGCCATTTCCGTGTGACACATGGCTTGAAAAACCGCGAGGTTACCGGTAGCTAACTGCCCACATACCCTTTAACGGAGAAAATCTCCGTCTCAACACGGTACTTTTCATCTCCTTTCCCCTCAAATACCACGCCCGTCTTCCCCCTGGCACAGATTTACGAGATCCCAGGGAACTCGGACTGAGGGATATTCATCTCATCGAGTAAGTTGTTCCAAATGGAGATGGGCAGAAAACCGCTTTGCTCGTACAAATTTTGCATGCCAATCTGATCATCTAATCCACCTTGGACACTAATAGTTCCGCGACTATCGCTCTGTGTAGAAGGAGAGGCCCCATCCAGTGCCAGGTTTCTATTCGAAACAGATCCCCTCATTGCCTCAGCATTCTTCTTGAGACGCTGAAGAACAATACATTTCGTGTTGGAGCTCGTCCCCCCTTCTCTAAGCGTCGATTCCTCAATCTCAAAAAGCCTGTAGACATTCTCCCACGCTCTGTCGGCGTTGGGTCCATCCGGCCGGACATACAGGTGCCACAAGACGTATAAAAGTACATGGTACTGGGGATAACTGCGAAGCCACCATCTGTATTGGAGCAGGAGCTCGTCCGCCCAGAGCCCCATGTATATCTCTAAACACCGGCACGCCGCCACGATATTCTCTTCCGTGGTCATTACGTCTCTATGCCCAGGATGGTCCATATTGACCAGCTGCTGACGTGTGACAAGGTCCACTTTGTGAACCATCAAGAGCGCCAGTTGCATAGTCATCTTGTGCAACGGGATAGACGAAGAGCAAGAACTCGTATAGGCATGGACTTGGTCTCTAAGCCGATCCATCATATCCCGTCTAGCAAGCTCCTTGCTGTTCGAATCGCTCGCCGATGTAAACAAACTGTCCAGACGGTGGACGGTTTGTGTGATTTCCATATTAACAAGGTGAAGGCTCATCCTTGTCCACCCGGCCTGCGGCGGTGGCAGTTCCCTCATGTCAGGGTGTAAGTCTTCATCGTGTATGTTCAGAGGCAACTTTGTGTCGGAAGGCGGCAGCCAGCATGACGAACTGATGCCGTGGTCTTCCGCGGCCCGGTTGTCTCGGGCAAGCATGTGCCACCAAAGGCGCCGTCGGACCTCTGCCTCGAAGGGGCGTAACCCCAGGTTAGACCCGTCTCTGTGCAACCCTATTGACTGGGCGATTCTGAGGGCAAGCCCGTTCAGGATCCAGGAGCTTCGTCCGTGGCTGTGTGTTCTGCTCGCTGTCTGCAGGGCACTAGTCAGCTTCGTTGCGTGTTTGTTGCCAGTGGACGATAAGATACATACCAGATATATCGCCAATCCCTGCAAAAGGAGCAACGTTGGGTGTTCCAAAATGTTGGCCGCGGATAAGCTCCGCTGAAACTGATGTCTAAAATGACGCAAGGCTGTGAATCGATCCAAGCCGAGGACATGCTGGACCTCGTGGTTCTCTAGTGTTGATGTAGCGGCGAAATACACTGCCCCGAGAACTACTGAAGCATCTTTGGAGACGGCGTTGGGTTCTCGAATGGCCTCAAAAAACAAGACTTCAGCTGTTGGAATATGTAGTATCTTGATGGAGGGGTCGACATTTTGCGTAAATATTCGCCACAGCTCCAGGGCTCCTCGAGTCAACAGCTGCCAACTGGTATTCGTGGCATCTGCTGCGATAGGAATCGACGAGGTGCCCATTAGACCAAGCAGTGTATCGCTTGCTTCTACTTGGTTTTCATCTTCACTCCTCGGCAAAAGCGACGGCTGGTCCTGGTCCTTGCACAGCATTAGCCACACAGCCCAGATGCATTAGTCCAGTTCCCATTTACCTCCTCTATCGCACGAGTTGTGAATAGATCATCAAAGTACTGGCTTGAATTCTGGTTGTGGAGCAATATTTTCGGTGACTGGCGCTCCTTGGGCCGCGGCTCATGGTCCGCAAAGGCCCTGCCTGGCACCGACGGCTGCACAGACGGGGCGGCGTCTATTGTTGCAGCCGTGATGGTCTTCTCCAAGCTGGACAGGCGGGACGCGACGTCAGAAATCGTCGTCTTACGAACGCGGCCAACTGCCTGGTTGGAAGGTGGATATGCGCACAACGAGCCGTTTCGCGTACACGCCGAGCAAGGTGACCGTCTGTCGCATCGGACTTTTCTCCGGTGGCACACGGTGCAAGACCGATCGTGTCGCCGGGGCGGACGCGCCGAGGTTGGCATGTGGTGCGGCGGCTGTGGCTCGGCCGTCCCATCCGTCAATCGGCCAGGGAACGAAACCATGCCGAGGATAATGACAAAAGTACATCACTGCAATGAGTGACTATGACAAGGAGTGCTTGTCCGAGTGGCATCTTTGTATCGTCAGCAGAGGTCGGGCTCGGCCAAGAATAGAGCCCGAGCCGAAGTGGATGACCAATACTGCTTCGGCACAGGTGGGAGGCGGTCGGATGACAAGCGGATATTACAACGTGGATAATATGACTGTAAATTCCCGGCTAACTACTCTAGTTCTGGTGGACAAAAAAGCCATAAAGAGAGGAAGAGGACATGACTCGTAACGTCTCGTAGGTTGCCGACGACCAAACGAGGTGCATGTAAATTGGGACGTATGGGCACCACCTGGTCCACGATGAACTTTCATCAAGGGGGGGGGCGGGTGCCGACTGTAAACTCAATAGACTCTAGAGAACCATGTGCAGGAGTGGAAACTTTGACTTGTCCAATGTGACTGGACGCCCTTTGTCTTGGACATCTGCGCCCATTTGGTCCGCCTTGGATCCGGAAGTGGATCGCCGATGCGGCCCCACTACATCCATGTGTCGGTCTCGGCGCCGGAAGGTGCGCCGACACCGAGGGATATGCCTGCTATAAAAAACAGCTGACTATACGGCTGTGCTTGGCAGCGCTCGCACGGCTACAACTTTCCTTGGTACTCCGTGGTAGTTCGGCGCCCGAAGCCTACAAGTTGGACAGTATTGCCAGTGCTACGCACGTATGAGATTCACAGTTGCCTCGACACACATGCCCCTCTCATTTCCTAGCCGACGACTGACATAAAACGTTCCTCCGGTTGCTGGAAGAAGAGAAATACGCTAGTAAGTAGTTACCAAATGACACAGGCTTACGTGCCACCGGCTCTGTAACAAAACTAGCTGACAACAAGAAGAGAATGGTCCCGGTGACAACGGTTATTCAAGATATCGACGCCCCGATTGGGGAGGTTTGGGGTATTGTTTCGGCCTGGGGCTCAGAGAGGCTTTGGTTTCCAAACATTATGGCGTCAAGTGTTGAAGGCTTTGGGATTGGAGCAGTTCGCACATTGACATTTAAACCGGGAGAATTCACAGTCTCGGAGAGGCTGGAAAGCGTCGACCCCCTCACACATACGATTTCCTATGCTCTTGTACGAAACCCCGACCACCATAGGGCTAGGAATCCCCGTGGGAGGCTTGTTTTGGACAGCCTTGCCGCTACGAAAACAAGATGCACATGGTCCTCCGAGGCGGAATGGGTTAGCGAGGACTTCAAGGCTGACTTTGCCAAATTTATTCACGGCATGTACAGTGAGGCTATTGATTCCATTGGCAAATTGCTAGCTACTTGATAGCATGGATGTCGGCCGGTATCATCACGTGCATAAGATAGGCGCATTGGCTAAATCTTTGTTTAGGAGCTCAAAACTCTCAAGAGAAAGTGTGAATTTGCTATAGGTGCTGTAAAAGAAGTCTAATTTATCTGTGGAAATATTCACGTAAGAAATGCATTTAATAATTCGCAGGATATGGGATTCTAGCTCATTCCTTGAAAAGTATCGATATGCAGCACAAGTTATTGAAAACACAGGGGACAAGACAAGGCACCATAATATTAGGAAATTGCAATACGTAGACTAAAATTAGACAAGGCGATGAGATTTTCCGACTCGCCACTCCCCTATCCTCTCAAGCCTTTCTTACAAAAATGAGGGCGTATGCCATCTTTGCCGGGAACTTGTGCCAGTGACACAGCTGCGTCTCTGGACAACACCAAAACCCGGTTATCATGTCTCCAAAGTCTATCCAGAACCCCATGAGGAATAAATCGCCGCGTCATGTGCAAGCAGTAGCAACCACAGCCGCGGGGGGTCATTCCACTCTGCGCGGGCTTTGGCATGGAACTGGCTGCGGTATTTAGCCTCTCAAAATCCAGCTGTAGATGTAAGCCAAGTCGAAAAAAAGATGCACTGGAGCCAACCGACGCCAATATTCGATTACTCGATACAACAACCGACGCCCATTCTAGCACGCATCTCAACGTATCTCATACCCCACGACTAACCCTAATGACTGTTCTCTCCCTTCACATTCCGCAATTGCTCGTAGAAGCTCGTCTCTGGACTACATATGGTCTTGTATTAGCCCCGGCCTGTCTGGTGGCAACTATCGAAACGGCATGCTTACCGTGTACTGGGACGCGATGACAATCGACCAGTTTGGTTTGGTACCAGGTGGTTTCTTTGACATCCCGGGCATGTTAGCGCCTACTCCCTTGGATATTTTACAGCACAAAGAGTAGCTCACTCGTCTCTCCAGGCATCGCATGAGCTTATTCCGGACCTCCTGAATGGTATTGGCAGTGTCGGAATATCCCCTAATATCGGTCGAGCCAGCGAGTGGGTGGGCCATGGCCAGTCCTGCCATGACGGCGACGAGAGCAATTGGACTCTTCATGTTGATAGCTTGACGACCGAAGTACAAGATCTGTGTGGGAGTATCGTTTACTCTGTATTAGCGTCGCCAAGTCAAGTTGTTGAATACAAAGTACGTGTGAAGTGTCCACGCAAAGGTTCAAACTTGGGGGGAGCTTTGGTTCTATTTATACGATCCACTTGTTTTGGACAAGTGGTCTCTATTCCCATGGACTCTAGAATCTTGATACTGGCCTCCATAAAGCGCAGAGCTTAGCCTTTGACGCGGCAAACGTACAAGTCACCTGCATCTGTAGATGGCGTGAGGGTGTCCACCAATCCTGGAGCCTGGCCCGCCGTCAATGATGTTTTTTTTGTAGCAGAAGCGACGATCTAGAACCTGTGTCTTACGTTATATGGGAGCAACTCTCTGCCTATTTGATGGACGATCCACATATCTCGTCATTATTTATTTAGCATCTGTCAACGAGTCATCAATTGCGTCTTCTACCCCAAGTTGGGGCATTGTCACAGAGTTCAGACTAGGACTAGTCACGAGGGTGAAATTAGAAGCGGGCTAACAAATCTACTATGTATGATAGTAGTCCTTTACCCCTTTTTTTTAGGAGACTACCCCATTCTCGCAACTCGTCAGCACGCGGGCTCTACCTTGTTTAGTAACATGAAAAGGCTTCAAGTGTAGTGGGACGCGAAAGTATTCGACCAGAATCGGTGCCCAGCAATCCCATCCGAATGAGAGGCTATTATCTGAGAGCCCCTACGCGTTTACCCTCCCGTCGGCAACATCTTTTCTCGCAACGTGCCTGCGGGCGGTGACATGGTGACCATCTGCACTCACGGGCATTTTAGCAAGCAAAAATAAAGTTTTAATTCGTTTCAATGGTCAATGGTGAGTGGTCTCATAACCGGGTCCACAACCTCAAATATAGCCCGTGACAAATATAAAGTGTTGCCGCAGAAGGGCGTTTTATGTCGACTCATGAGCCATACTTGTCCAAGATTATTTAACTGTAATATACAACTACACAATAGATGCAGTGCAAGTCTCTCCAGTAGCCCGTCATCGTAATAAAGAAACCGCCAACTTTGTCTCATCTGAGTCGACATTCTCATTTGGTTCCCATGCCATTCAATTCTCTCGCTTGCGCCAGCACGTCCCTCGGCTGCTTCTACATTTCAACTCCGTAGTTTTCACAGGCAGCTCAACAGGGGCTTCAGCTTGTCCAAGACCTTCTGCTGCGCGTTCGCATCGGCCGTCGTCTTATCGCTCGCATCCCCCACACTAATCGACACGGAACAAGGCGTGCTCTGATGCACATGCAGCTCGGAAGGCAGACGCGAGCCACCGCACCAGTTGACGTCGGGGGGCGAAAAAATGCCTGACGTGATCCGACTAAGAACGTACTTGACGTCTGATGCTTTGGAGCAGCTCCCACCCGCCACAATCTTGGGCATGTTGACATTGAGAAAGACGTCCTTGGGCAAGTATGGCTCTCCCGCGTCGATTATGCTCTGGGTAATGTTTGCGGAAATCTCGGCAAAGACGGCGCTCTCCAGCGAAGCCGGCGTGTTCCAAGGGTGAGTGTCCGTGTTTGCCCCGGAAAATGCAATGGCAGGAATGCCAGCGTCGTGCGCGGCATAACAGGCAGCGCCGACGGTGCCAGATACCCAGTCGACCAGCCACAGGTTTGCGCCCACGTTGGGCCCCGTGACGACGAGCTCCGGCTTCGCGCCGCTCCAGAGCTTGGGGCCGATGCTGTCGATGCCGTAGCGGGCAGAAGTGGCCGGGTAGGAGTTTACCCAGTTGAGATCTGGGCGAGTTGCGTTGGACCCAACTGGGCCAGAGTTGGCTGGACAGCTATCGTACATGCATGGGTCTTTGCGCGGTTGAGGGTCTCTGTCCAGGGAGCCTGACGGTCGACGTGAGACATTAGTACACGATGGTTACGTTTGAGCGCAGGAGAGTCTGTCTGGTCTGGTGGACAAGCAGGAGTTGGCGCGGAGCAGGGGCGCGAGTCGAAACCTCAGTTACCTCTGCCTGACTGGTTCTCCGCAGGAGCTGACAAGACGACTTGATGTCCCATGGCATTCAAGGCGTCATTGAGAACGCGAAGATTGCCTTCGGCCCAACCATCATCGTTGGTCTGTATAATGCGTATGCCGTGCGTAAAGGGGAGAGCAAAGGCCACGAGCGGGGCCGCGATGTGTTTCAATGATCTCATGGCGACACGTGGCGTGGCCAATGTAGTAGCAGCGGACCGGGAAAGAGACACAAAAACGACAGAAGGAGCTCTTCTTGATGCGAAGCAAACAACGAGTGGACAGTAAAGGTAGAGGGCCTCTCTGATACAGGATCAAATAGGACATGGTGCTGATGCGTCGGGATGGAAGACGTCGATCGACTCAATGCTGCTCTTCCACGTGCCTGCTCTCACTAGTCTCTTTAGATACAGGCACAGACAATTGATTGGTTGCAAGAAACGAAGCGCAATTTGCCACCAATCAGGTCCGTGCCCAGACAAATCATGTACATGCACATGTGGTATAAAGTGAACAGCGGATAATAGTACTAACCACATGCAGCTCTATTATTGGATGAAGGTACTGTATATCGGCTTATGGATAGATTTGGCTCTACTCACTTGCATAAATGTGTCAGGATGTATACTCTGGCTCTACTACGACGTGATCATGATGGCCCCTGGATAAATGCATCTCCACCGAGCTGCTTTGACAACAGTCACATGTCCGTGCGCTCACCTGTTTCTTCAGGTCAACTGGTCCGCAGCGTCCTGAACAAAAACCGGAGCCGTGAAGAAACCTTGGCCAGCTGCGCCGGAAAACTGTGCCGGGCTGACATTAGGAACCAGCCTCAGCCCAGCACCGCGGTTAGCAGGTGTATGCATATTGGTCCCCGCCGTCCCTATCAAGTCAGGGTAACTCGTCGCGTCTCTAAGAATGCTTAATCAGGGTGACTCGTAGTGGTCCATGAAGTGTTATCAGATGTATACTCAAATAAATTAATACATAGTATATAAAGGACAGTTTCTTGGCACCACGCCGAGGCGTAATACTCGCATCAGAGTAGGGCACATTTGCATGGAACACAATTAATGAACCGTGGCAGACGCTGCAATTTCTGTACAGAAAGACCTCTGCTACTGTGCCCGGACCACGTAGAGCACCCGTGTTGACGCAACTGCCCAAAGCCTTTGAACCGCGGCGGCACAGTCCTTCTCCCTCTATTCCATCATGTGGCACTTCTGAAACCTGTGTCTGGTGCATCTTTTACAGTCTTTGTCTTGTGAATCCTTTGAGCCTTTGTCTGCGCAATCTCCTACAATCTTCATCTCCCGTGAATCTTTGAGAGCCTTTGTCTAGACTCTAGTGGGTCTCTTGCAGTCTTTATCTACCCATTGTGCTTTTAAAACCTTTGTCTCGTCATTCTTTCAAGGCCTTGATCCGCCAAACCTTTGTCACTATTGTCTGGTGACACTTCTAAAACCACTGGCTTTATTCTTATTGTTTGCACATCTTTGTACGGTAGGCACGCGGTTCTGATTGTGTTTGCGTCAAGCCATGAGGGCAGTCGATTTAGGAGATCAGTCTAGAGTAGTATTTAATAGCAGGGTATCCCAGAAGAGAGCTAGCCAGAATCCAGACTATCTCTTTACTTTATACTCTCCGATACTATCGCCCTTTTATCCTCTTCGCCTGCAGCAGAAACAGACATCTAGTTTCCTGCTTTAAATACACGCACCGACTCTGTGATATATTTAACGCCTGTCATAAATATCAATCCCTCGACAAACGCAAATTACAATTTTGGTATAAAGAGGAAGATGGATACGAAGGTGGAGAAGACATTGAGAGATGTAAGCCGTTTCATTACTTTTCGATTTTTACAATAACAACCTTTAGAGTGCTAATATACTATGGTATCGGAATAAAAGATCTGGGGGCGGAGCCTTGATATCGTTATAACGACGGGTGAGGGAGGGGACGAGCGCGCCATTAACTCTCTGGAAGGGTGCGAGGGCTTTGAAGAGGTCTACACAACGGAAGAACAGGAGGATCAAAGTGTGACATTGAAATTGAAACCGAAAGTGCCTCCAGGTGTGAATCCTCAAGAGATGTGGCACAAAGTCGGTAAACATCTGAGAGAGAAAGGCTATGCACCCGATTATGGGGTTGAGTACGGTAACAAATTCGTCTTTGCAGGAGAAGACTACAAAAAAAATAGAATGGTTATACAGTGATGGAAAAGGCGATTTGGATGCCACACGGACTATCGATTGTGGAAAAGGCGCGGAAGGTGGACGAGGCTATCTGGTGGAATTTTGAGATGGCTTTGAACAGGAGCAGAGATTCAAGGTACAATGTGGAATCTTGTTTGGGGCCTATCATGGATCACTATTCTTAAACATGTCAAGGCGGACGGTAAGGCGGGCCTCTACCACCGCCGTCAATGTGTTGTATCTTACTCTCTCACGACTATGGCGTTGTTGTGGCTAGATGCACAGGTAATCGGCCAGATAAATAACCTACCTGACATCTTTAATCGCTAATCTCCAACAATAATTCCCAGTGATGGTCAAGGCTCAGCGGTAATAAAGTCAGCGCGATTCCCGACAAATGTCACGGAGCAGTCAAAGGTGAGTAGTAGCCATTTGTGCCCGCCGAAATCAAGTGAAAGGGGCTAAATATGTTGGCCATGGCATGGTATTCCTCCAGGAGAATGGCGAGGTACTTCTCCCTCGCGGCCGTCATGGTCAGGATGATAGCCTCGCTGGCCGCGTAGATAACACCAGACCGCCTCGCCGCTTCGCTCCGGTGCTGTGAAAGCACTCTGGTAGCCTTGGGGCCTTGGCAACCCAGTCCAGAACGACACTCTTGAGCTTCGTGGCGGTCTATCGGCGCCGAGGCCAGCAAGAGCTCACCGAAGTAGCCTGGTTTAACGGTAGACACGACTCGACGACTCTCGATGGAGTCGGCATAGTCGGCCACTCTGAGGAGAGAGACGCGGCGTGGCTGGCCAGCATGATCAAACAATGGCACACCTGCCGCAATCTTTCTTGTTCGTGTCCAGCATCAACATCATGACCAATTCAAAGGGACATGTCCGCCCTTCCCCCCCAAGAGAGTGGCACACCACACGGCAGACTCCACGATGGCATCGCAGGGTTCAAGACCTTGTGCCGTGCTTACCGCCGTTTTGCACACAAGACTGCGTCGGCGTCGAAGCTTCGAGAAATATAGTCATCTGCATGGACCTTGGGCACGTCCGGCCCTGTCCAAGACTATTAGTCCTTAATACTCACGACTTGCGAAGCAGCGGCTACTGAGTCGAGGTTCGAGTGCGGAGCGTGTGGCTTTTAGGTAAATAAACTAGGCGCGTTAGAACTAAAGAAGTATACTCACGGAACGCTCGTGGGTTAGAGAACGAGTTGACATAATAATTACTCCTTAACTCTAGGCATTTTCCCCTTCTACTTCTTCTTTTATTATAGCTAGTAAAGAAATCTAAATAGGTAAGCTATATACTTATAGTACTTGTGTATTTTAAAATTAATAACTATACTATACTAAAGCCTATTCGTCTTGGTCGTTTAATTTTTGCTCTGGTCCGCTTATTCTCTTTGCCACGATTTCTCGTGTGTGGATGTATTACTAACTTCTGTGCAAAATTAGCTTCATCTTGATAGTAAACAGCTAGGGACTAGCTAGTTGGTAGAGGCCTTTCACAAGAATTAAAATCAGCACTAAATAAAGGACTATTTTCAACCCATCTCAACCTTATTAGATCTTCTTTACATAAAAGCTCAAGTCATCATCACGGCGCGGCGTTGCATCCTCAAGGTCCAGCGTTACAACTCCCATCTCAAGAATAGGATGGATATCCACTTTTGCGTCAACAATATCCTTCACCTTCTCCTCGAACCCCCACAGCTGGCTCGTCTGCTTATAGCCAGGGGTGATGGAGTTTCTTCCCACCAGGCAGATATACCTGTCTTCATTGTTCATTTTCCCAAAGATGATCTTGGTAGTTCCCATAAGTTGGTCAAAATCATAGGCTTCGAAGCGGAACAGCTCTTTGGCCGTGTCGTGTTTATAGTCATCGATGACTGCTTTTATAAGCATCGTGTTCGTAGGTCATGAATACGAATTCTTCAAGCAGGGAAAGGGAAAGGGAGCATCGTACAGTGAGTTCTCAGGTTGTTTTTCAAGCGAATGCTTTGAGCGATGTACTTTCTTCGCTTGACAGCAAGCTGGGAAACTCTTTATCAGTATAGAACCACCATTGTCTTGGTTGGGTATTGAAATACTCACTAATACTTCAGTTTGGAGCTTTGCCGGGAAGTCGCCCGAGGGCGGCGACTTGGCCTCTTCAGGCTTTTTGCTCACTTGGGTTACCTGGAGACTCGATTAGGGTCGCTTTTCAATCATGGACAAGAACTCTGATACGCACCCAGTTTCTGTAGAGCTGCAGCTGGGTGATGACTTTGTTGTTGAGCCTGTCTCGGTCGCTTCGACCATTTGTGTAATGATCCGAGTCGACTAGGTGGGAAATTTAGCTGAATACCTGGTACATTCGTGGAATTGGTGTCGTCATACTTGCTCGAAGCATATTCTGAACAACGAGACACTTGGTAAAATCGTTAAAAACAGCCCAGCTCTTCGTGGAATAAGTCAGCGAAAAGATGAGTTGGAGCTGAATTCTTTCAAATACGTACCCGATCTTTAGCTTCCGTATAGTCAAATGGCACAAATGAGCCGTTAAAGTTGGGAATATTAGTATACTTTTCTAACAGCGCACTAGATTATAATGAGCAAAATTAACGCGAATCTAAATGTAGATCATGTAAGCTCACAATCTCTTATAGGTATGCTTCGGGGCATTATTGTAAAAGGAGTCGGCGACCTCTTTAAGGCGCATCATGTTATTCTCTGCCTCGTCGCTCGGCTTCATCTCAGTGGGAGTTCCAACATAGTGCAAGTAGATCTTGACTTCGGAGCTTTTCTGGATCTTTTGAATGCTCTCCTTGACTTCAGTAGTGACTTGTGCGTTGGCACTGAAGACGGAGAAGGCGGTTTTGGCTCTAACATAAGTCTGTTAGTACGGTTCTGTGCCATGGCGTAGTGGTTCTCTTAACTCACGCGACCTGGAGCTCGTGTGAGGTTGACTTCTCATTAGTGATGATGGAAACTCGAGCAAAGAGCGCCCCGCCCTTGACGAAATCTGAAATTGATCAGCTATTGGATGTAAAGTCCTCATTGGGGAGAGTATTACCGGAAATAAAGTGATCGCCGTATAGCCCTCGAGGATCGGAGGGAGATGTCCAGTTAAATGTGTACTTGACTGTTGCACTCGGCTGTCGCCGGGCATCCACTTTGACTACGTAGGTGAGCAGGCTTTTCTTGATCTGAATTTGTATTTATTAGCAGAGCATTCTCACAAGATATTTAGATAGGGCAACAATACTCACCTCTGTTCGGTCAAGAAATTTGGAGTCAATCTTGGTGTCTGTCCCCCAACCTACGATGCCCGCACCAGCACTGATGTCAAGTGTTTGCAGAAGTTCGCTAGAAGCAAAAGTTAGTATTGTTAGAGATTTTCAAATCACCTGAACGTGTGGTGATGATACTTGTAGTCTTTGATTTCGCGGGCTTGATAACTTAGGTCCATGGGCGAGTCTGAGCCAGCCGTCGACTGTATGGTTACGGCATTGTGCATGCAAGTTTGCTGTAGGTAGGAGTTGTAACTGGGATAATATTTCCGTACGGTCAACTTAATCCTTCGGAGGTTCTCTTGATACGCTTACCCTTGACCCTCGGTCATGCCATCGGCATATGGAACTCGGATTTGGCCGGCCATTGTGAGTCAGTAGTCAGGAGGAAACACAGATATTTTTTCTCTGGATGGAGGTTGGCAAGTTGTGGGGGAGAAGAATCCTTTGCATTTTCTCCATTCAACGCCTTGATATACTTTAACGGCGACATACTCACATCGATATCGGCCCATGAGCGCAGTCCCTCTGTTTCTTAAGCAGTTTTGTCATTGGGCCAAACCTACGTCGCAATGTGGCAGCCAGACACCAGCCAACTACGACGTGTAAAGCAATAACTGGCCACGGAGAGGCGCCACTTTCGAATAGCATTTTTGAATCACGATGGCTATTGGACTAGGTCATTTTGACATCTGGTACTGAGTATGAAACAGTCCACAATCCAGTTGCGCCACTGCTTGCATCCTATAGCACACCTGGCGGCTTGTGTGCTCCATGATGTCTGGTTCGTTTTGCATGGTGCTTCAAGTGCCGCGTCGGTCTCATTCACGGATCACCATCAACTATCGTGGCTAGGTATTTGCAACCATGAAAGGAGAGAGCTAGGCCATGTTGGCATCCATTCCGTGGAGTATACGGGTATATAACCCGCGACACACACCTCTCTATTCTCTCCAACCGAATTACATCTTCAATTTCGACAGTCTCTTATCACCCGCGCTCTTGATTCAAGTCTTGCAACACAATTCGCACACTCTCTCCACCACCATGGCCTACAAACAATGGATTGGCATCAAGAACCGCAGTCGCCTGCGCAGGAGTGACATTCGCATCAAGGACGCCAAGCTCGTATCGTAAGCAGCTCTTCCCCATCATCCATCTTGACCTCTATTTGACCCAATCGAGCCTTTTCAGCGGCAAATTCTACCGCGGTAACAAGGACAACGAGATTAGCCCCAGCGAGATCAACAAGATAGTCATCGCGCCGCAGTCCGAGGCCTTGGTACATTCATGCGGGCGGTCGGACGCGGCCATCGGCACCGAGGGCGAGTACACTCTGTACGAATGGAACGGCACGCACGAGACCAAGATCTGCCGGGTGTACTGGAGCGCGCCATGGGGTGCGCACTCCAACGTGCTCAGCATCCTGGACTGGGACCCCAACACGTCTGATTACTCCGTTATCAAAGATGATGTGCAGCAGGACTCTACGATTGGAAATGTCGAGGTTGTGATAGCCAAGTTGGCATGAGATGGAGCGTGCATGGGACCCGACTTGAGTTGGATCGTGGCTGGCTCATGGTGGAATAGATGCATAAACGATGAGAGGTGAGAGCGCAGCCAAGCCACTTTTGGGCCTATCCAGTTATAATATGAATAAACTTTACTGTGTCTGGTAAAATTTACTTTTTATAAAGTTGACTTCTTGTAAAATTTACTTCGTATAAATTTACTTCTTCTAAAATTTACTTCTTACAAAATTTACTTTTACAGTAACCTTAATATATACTAAAGCATATCAATTCATCTCTACACGTAATAGTATACTCTCTTGGTTTTAACTATCAGAGTCGTACTCCAGCAGCCGCAAAAGCACCCTTGCTGTCCAGGGAACCTTGCATAGTATTGACATATAAAGAGACTACCCCATGCGATACGAGTTTGTTTGGCAAATGCAAAGTTCACTGCAGATATAATCGGATGAAAATGATGACCATATCTCAACTTCTCAGCAGCTTGTTCTTTTTTTCAGCGTTTCTCGGATGGCCCTTTTCTACTCAAGCTCGATCGATAGATCGGGCTGCCTTTGGTGACCATGTCGAGAAGGAAAAGATTCTCCAACAGACGTTTCACAGCCCCCGACCATTTTTTGCCATTGCTCACCGAGTCCTCATGGACTATGGCGTTCGAGACGCTCTCAACCACGGCGCTAATGCCTTTGAAATCGACATGACAGCTTGGAGTAAACAGTGGTACGCGGATCACGATGGGACGCTTACCTCTCGAGGCCACACAGCAGAACACATGTTTAGGGCCATTGCACAAGAGCGGCGTGCTGGTAAAACCGCTATATTTGTCTGGTTGGATCTCAAGAATCCCGACTACTGCGATAACCGCTATCCGGCGTGCAATATTGAAGCGCTGAGAAACCTAGCTCGGGATATTCTACAACCTGCCGGAGTGAAGGTGTTGTATGGTTTTTACAGCTCGCAGACTAGCGGGCGGGCATATCAGGTCATTAGCCGGGGCTTAAACAGAAATGAGGCAATTGGTATCGACGGGAACGTGGGTGATGCCAACCGAGTTTTCAATAGTCAAGGTCCCGCCTCCATCAAGCACCGAGTCTATTCTAAAGGACTTTTTGATCCAGCATGGAACTTTGGCAACTGCAAAAGTAGCGGCAATCAAATTTGTCCACAGCTCCGCGAGGGTGCTGAGTCGAGAAACTTTGGCAAAGTTTTTGGATGGACGATTGCGGAAAACAACAGAAAAGAGGCAGACCAATTGATGAGCGTTGGTGTCGACGGTCTCATCTACGGATTCGTGGCCACACATTACTACGATCATCCTGACACGAGGGCTGCAAGGAAGATTCTTGCAGATTGGCTTTCTAAGAACAAAGACAAAGCCTATCTTGCAACCCTCAGGGACCAACCTTGGTGAGTTCTATGATGAGTTCTGCTGCACAACTTGCAAGGAGATGGAAGTTGTACAATTTTGGGTTTAGAGACAAGGCGTTTGTACTTGAATGAAGTAGTGCAAAGCGGCAAGCTGCCTAATGACATGTAGTCATAGTCTGTCCAAATCTGTCAAGATCAGGTCGCTCATTCAAGCACGATGCTGCCTTTGTAAGAGCAGGCAAGAGTTATTACCTAAGTGGCAAGTTGCAATAGGAAATAGGAACATAAGCAGCAGTATTCCAGAAGTGTTTAATTTCGTATGATTCCGCTCCTAGATGTAAAATGAAGCGTCTCTCGTTTTGCCCAAGCTGTACCATGCAATTGTGCTGTGCGACACCAGACACCTGCCAAGTTTTCTGCCTAAGCCTTGCTTCCATGCCCGGTATTTCGCCTGGGCCGTCATAAAGGCCGCTGTAAAGTTTGTTTCCATGACCTCATTCATCTCCCTTGTGGAGTCTGGTACTTTTGCTGTATAGATATAACCTTGTTGCAACTCAAATTTTGCAAGCATCCGTGGGTATATCAGTCAACTTAGAGGAACACAACCACTCGTCTTTAACATGTTGGGGGAAAAAGTACATGAAACTGAAACAAGCTTGGATTCAACTAACTAGACTACAAGTTAAGCTATGAACAGCAAGGTCCAGATAGATATTCAAAACACCTGCATCGTTTCCAACGTCCATCCACAACTAAGCTACGCAAAGATGCCCAACTCGAGATGACGCAGGAGATGCATAGTTTCTCCCCCTTCAGCTCGTGCTTCCCTCCGTCGCAGCCGCATCCGCCCCGTCCGTCTTGGAGATAGCCTTGTCTGCGCACGCCCAGACGACTTCGAATCTGGCCAGGGGCCTCCCCCTGGCGCAAGCTACCATGACGTGGGCACACCTGCGACGGCTGGGGAACTTCTTACACAGTTCCTCTTGCCGGTCTCTTATCTTTTGCCGGGCTTCCCGGTCGGGCAGGAACGCACCACGTATGCAATCAGACGCAAATTCCTCCGACGTGTCCTCGATATAGTAGCAACCCTCGACAACGAATTTGCAGATTTCTGTCCTCGACCCATTCTCCTCCACACAACTCTTCATGTGCTTATTCAGGAACTCTTCAGGTGTAGGGGGGCTGGTGACTTGTCGCTGGGAAATCTTATTCACAACTTCCTGCATTTTCTTCATCTTCTGTTGCATTGCTTCCCAGTTCTTTAACCGGATTTCCGACACGCTGTCCCTCAGATGTTGCGTCACATCGTCGTTCAATTGACTGTCGCGAACGACCTCCAAGAGCCCGATGGCCAGAGTTACGAGAAGTTTATGATTTCGGGATTCTAGGGCCGAAAAGGGAGGAATGGACAGATTCGTAAACTCCGGGGGTGCGGTAGGGTGACGACCCATGGGGTCTCTGCCGTAAGCCTTGTCCAGAGCCTTCATCTTTTCGTCTTCGTGTATCTTGCCAATCTTCATAGCAGCAAGGAGTCGAAGTCCCTTGAGCAAATCGGGATTATCAACGGGGAAAACAGAATCATCAAACTCCTCTTCCTTGAGACGACCCTGGAGGAATAGTGCAGTCTGGTGCGTCTGCCGGATAAGGATGAAGTCTCGGTAAAGACCCGGTATGTCCTCGGTCAATGCCTCCCTTATCTCCGTGTTAAAGTAAGAGCGCAGATCCAGCGTCTCATTCTGAGCAAACCTCATTCCCTTGGACTGGCCGAGGACAAAGGCAACATTTAACGCCTGTGGCAGTGGTGGAAGGGACTCGTTGAGACGTTTGCCAACCTCCTTCATCTGCGCGCGAGCCCTGGAGTAATGGTCATTGGGTTTGACGGATGGACCGCCGCCGAACGCAATGTCAAAACCATCGTCCAGTCCGCTTTGATCGCGGAAATTCTCGATAAACTTGTCTGAATTAATGTGCTCGATAAATTCATCATTGACCTTCTTGGCCAGCTCTGACAGCGAGAAGGCTGTGCCATTCGCAAACTCTTCCGTGATGTCCAGGAGGAACTCGCGCTGCCGGCGCGAAACCACATTCCACTTATCTGCTTGGATCTTGTGAATAGCCTGCAGGGTTCCGTTTTCGAGCGCGGCCAGGTCGACTGTCTCTCCCTCGCCCAACGCACTGGAATGGAAGAGATCGGGCGAGCCACTCGCATTCAACGCGCCAATTCTCCCAGCGGCCTCGGACAGCACGCTCACGGTATCAATGGCAAAGACGCTCTCCAACTTGGCGGCAAAAGACTGCGTTGGGTCTGTGCGACTGTTCGAGTAGACGGTTCCGTACACTCTGCTAAGCACCTCATTCCAGGAATCATCGCGCCTCTCCCACATCTCCTCCAAGGTCGGCGGCGCGGGAGGATGGGGGAAGAAGCTCATGACGGCTCGGACAAAGTGAAGCGCGAGGCCAAACGGGGCCAAGGGACCGAAAAGGAGGGCATCCGCGATGCCGCACAAGACGGTGTCTATTATGTCGAGATCGATATCGTGGCCCTTCTCTGCGCCGGCGGCCGCGGTGACGGCACAACCTACAAAGGGGATGATGGCTGTGAAGGCGGCGGCCTTGTCCAAGTCGGTGCTGTTCGTCCGGAAGGCCTGGACGATGCCATTCACCCACAGGGCACCCCCGACCGCTCCGGCCAGCTTTCCGAAAGCGCTAGAGAGCTTTCCGCCGCGGCCGGGGACCAGGTCCGACGAGGTCGGCTCCATGGGCTTGTATCCGATCTGCTCTCGAGCCTCGTGGAACGTCTTGACCCCGTTCTTCAACCACGAGTCTGGTATCTTGGGCAGGCGCTCTCCAATGGCCTTTTCAAACTCCTCCGCCGACACCTGGTTGGCCCTGTTGGCCCTTTCGGCGAAGCGGCCAGTCGCAAGAATCTCGGCATCGATCACGCCTTCGGACCCTTCCGTAACCGGTGGGAGGTCTATAATTTCCTTGATCTCGGGGGATTCCCAGGGGAAGCAAGCATTGACGCCCTGCCGCTTGTCCAGTCTTGCGACCTCTCGCTTGCGAGCTTCGCCCCTGGCACACACGATTGGCTCAATGCTTTCAATCGCCGTCTTGAGCTCCTGGAGGTTTGTTTGGTGGTTGCCCTGGACACTTTTTATATGTTTCTTTCTGAACCAAGACGCCTTCATCCAAGGATTCTCCCTAACGGCGGTTCTGAAGGTCTCCCCCATGTCTATCTGCCCCTCGGCATTTTCCCTGATAGTAGGCGTGTAGTCGGCCAGGGGTTTGAACTCGGCCACGATGTTTTCCGTAACCTGCCGGCCGTCGAGGTGTTGGTCCCAAAGTTCCTGGAGCTTCTCTTTTGTAATGCCGCCCTTGCTTTCGGCGACGGTTTGGTCAAAGTCGATGGCCGTGGCCCCCTTGGTGATCACTTTGAAATCTGCGTACGGCTTGAAGCTGTCAATCGTGGCCCGCATACGGCCGTCGAACACGCGTTTCATAGAGAGCATAATGTTTGCTCTGACTTCCCGGAGCGTGTCTTCGAGCGCCTGCCCCGTGAGCTTGCTGTGCTTGAATCCCTGCGTCTTTTGCAGGATGCCGGAGAGATTGGTCCCCAGCTTCTTGAAGAGGTCTGGGTAATCCTTTGCGTTGCTTATGATGCGGGACTCTGCTATCGTGCCCGTCTTGCCTGCCTTGACAAGCAGCTCGACGGTTGGCTCGATTGGGGGGAACTCTTCAGACGTGATCGTGGCTTTGGCATCGCCGGGCCCGCGGCCCTCGATGAAGTGGACAAATTCGTCAAAGCTGCAGACACCACCCGGCTTGCACCCGCCTGCAATGGTTCTGCCGCCGCCCATGTTGTCCAGCTTGTAGGCATAGTAGTACAAGAGTCGCTCGTAGGCGCCGGGCGTGGAGTAGGCGGCTGCTATGAGAGCAGAGCCAAAAATGGCTAGGAAATGTTTGAGCCGCATATTGCGGGCGTGTCGGTCAAGGGAGTGTTCTTGCAACGAATGAATGAAACTAGAGAATGAGTGAATGAGTGAGATGATGGATGAGGACAGAAGAGGACGGCGTAGATGTATTTATTCATACTTGTTGATTTACCGGCATATGGTATTCTCCGTCATCAGCCAGGACTTGGAACAAATTTTCTGATTCCCCGTTGCCTAGCCTCGCATGACAGCCGATTCATTTCTGAAGTCTATGCATAAACGCGAAGCTTGAATCAGGTGGTGGAATGATGCCAACCCATCTGTGTAATCGCGCGTGAACAGTACTCTGCATTAAGCGAGGTCGTATTTTCTATGGATCCGAACTTGTTCGTCTTGAATTGTAGCATGTCGGGCTGCGGCTTCGTGGGGGTGCTTTTGCCATGTCTGATGCCACATGACTCTATTTGCTCGGGTATCTCGAGAGCCACGATGCATAGCATTGACCGTGATGGGCCGTTCAAAACTCAGTTACTATTTTTTCGGGATGAGTTATATATTCCACTGGCGACTATTGGGATCCCTGTGAAGCTGATGTAAAAGTAGGAGACCTGATGAAGGATATTGAATCATGCTACTTCTCGGGAAGTGGCAGGTATTTCCTCACGAGAAGAGACCCTTGGGATATAATTTTCTCGGGAAGTGGCAGGTAGTTCTCACGAGAAGAGACCCTTGGGATATAATTTTCTCGGGAAGTGGCAGGTAGTTCTCACGAGAAGAGACCCTTGGGATATAATTTTCTCGGGAAGTGGCAGGTAGTTCTCACGAGAAGAGACCCTTGGGATATAATATACATGGAGGTTTAGTCATGCAGAGCAAGTTTTCTCCGTTTTCCCTAGTCAGGTAGCCCGGTATGATATCATTTCGGAATCACAATAGACCGAGTGGGTGGGCCGAGGCAAAATGGGAGACCCCAGAAATGCAAGATCTTCGGGGAATTGAAATATGTACCTCCTTTGACAGCTTTCCACTGCAGCTCGTACGGTCATTTTCACACTGCAAAGTCTCCACTCGAGTCAAAAAAACGCTGCATCGGCATGATGCTCATCTCCTTTGGCCCATATAACAAGGTCTAGATTAAACTACAGACCAATTCGGTAGTCGGCAACGTACAGTACCGGCCCAATAATCGGGGTTAACGCTATAATACCTGCGCTAAGAGTCTGTTGAACAAAGTTCGTATGGTTATTAAAGGAAGGAAATTGCTGAATTCGACCCCCGGCTATATCACAGCCTCCATTATGCCCGTCATGTGATAGTCATGCCTACCACTAACAACCAGAGGCACGGTGGCGGATACGGGCTTCATTTGTGTATGGGGATCCTTCTTGTCTCAGAAATTATATAAGTCTCTGCCCAAGTCGGTGGAATAAAGTGTTTGTGCATCCCATGATTCGCACATCGATCCGTCTGCCATCTTCCTTGTCGCAACCATCCGCAAAGCTCACCGCCACAACCTAAATACCAAAATGGTTCGCATTACAGCTGCTGCTCTGGCCTGTAAGTCAAAATATGCCAATTCCTGATATTTGAAGCCGGGCCTGACTGACCTGGCGAGCGGCAGTCGCCGCGTCCTTGATGGCCGTCTCCGCGAGCGCCAATGCACCCGGCCATGTCGCGACGCAAAACCTCAACCGGCGTCAAGAGGCAGAGTCTGCACCATCCGACGGCATGAACCAAGAGGAGAACTTGGAAGAGCTGATGAAGGAGTTCATCGCAATTGCTGATGATGTCAAGATCCTGGCAGAGGAAATCATGAAGCATCCCGATCAAGTCTAGTCAGAATTTGGTGGTTTCCCAATAGTCTTCTCTGCGACTTTGAGTGGTGTATCTTTTGCTTTGGGCGCCATGACAAATGTGTGACGAGTTTACAAGCATGTACAAGCAATATAAATTACAACCTGGCCTCTGTACCATGATGCGCGCTGTGATGGTAATGAGAAATGTTTTTAAAGTTGACATTCAAGGGTCAAGCCGAATGGGCTCAGACCCACCTATATCCGCAGTGCGAGTCGTGCTAATTGGGTGACTAAAGATGGCCCTTGTCATGTTATCGGCTCCCGCGCCCACTCGCTTTTAAGCTTAAACTAGGTCATAGCCAACGAAATTAGGTCCCTCAGCTGGAGTGGGGCCCGGAAAAGGGGTAGCGAGATCAATTGATGGCTCAACACCATAAAAGGGAGCCCACGATAGCAATCCCTAGCTTTTAATCCCATCGACTTTTACCTGTCATTTTCACCTGTTATTTGTGCCAATACCTTGTCTAGGGTTTCCCGCAATGCAAATTCGGTGGTTTCGCCCGGGCAATCATCTCGCCATATGTAATGTCATGAAAGGAAGGTCCTCACAGGCCCGATAATTCGAAGCTGCCTACCTGAACCAATTGATCAAGGCTACATATGCAGATACTGTTGCAGGCTGCTGCCCTTGAAAGCCAGTTGCCTTTTGATACTGCCCATCGTTGAAAGCTGGTACTAGATGCAGTCTGCTGCCGATAGATGCAAGCTATCTAGTTGTCTAGTTGAACCATTTAATCAGAGCCCTTCTGGCTGTTATGTTTGTAGTAACTTATTAGTATATGTACTATTTTTACCGTCTTGTACATCTTTTCTTGTGTGGGTTTTCCCGCTACAAATTATTGCACATAGTAAGACTATAAGCTTTATCATACAAATATAATACTTGAAAACCTGGAAATAACACAAATTAAGGGGGAAGTATATAATTGGAAGGCTCTACTTTAAGATCTAGATAGCATGATTCAGCTCTTCCTTTGGAACCTCGTAGTACTCTCTTTATATAATCGCTGTATCCAAGTCGCTGTGAAGGCACAAGGGCACGAGCAAAGTCGAATACGACTTGGATAGAGCGATTACTCACAAAGAGAGTCAGGGCTTCCTTGGTTGAGCTATTCAAGTCCTAAAGTAAGGGTGTTCCCTTGTACCGTCACAGAATAATCACGTAATACCGCAGGTGCGTTCCAACTTCCAACTATGGCTAGATGAAGGGTCTTGGCCACAAGGGTTACACAATAACAAAGCAAGGTATCGCGAGAGTCAACTAGGCCTTGAAGGAAACCAAGGACCTTTACTACCAAAGACTTTTATTCGAAGAATTGAGTCATGATGCGCCAAGCCTTGAGCCCTGGTCACGGTGGCGTTGGGTGTTAATACATGGCACTGTGCACTGTTCAGTTAATCAGTACATAATCAGCTTCTCTGTAGCAGCGGCAGCATTACCAAAGTCTTTTGTCTGGGAGGAATGGCCATCTGTAAGAAGATGGTTTTTCGGACAGATATTCGTTGCATAAAGGGCGTTGACTGAGAGACCAGCATGGACCGCATAGACATGACTATTATGCAGCTAGTCCGTCCGAGAACTTGCACAATCCAACCCCTGTAAGTTTAGCTAGCGGTAACTTTTAGTAGAGCTAACAGGGGCTAAGGGCCTGATGAAGCGTTTATAAAAAAATAGATAATATATAACGTAGAGTAAAAGGTACTAGAAAATTACTATACTTTTTATTACTTTGATAGGATTAAATTTCTCGGCTAAGCTCTTGAAAATAATAGCCATTAGCTTATAACCTCACAGCCGGCCCCATCTACTAATATCACACATGGCTAAACTTTCAGGGGGGTTATATTATACTGTCGGTTATACAGCTCGCTTCAGCTCGCGTCAAATACGTCTGGTGGGTCCGTCGCTTCTTCCCACTCGGAAGACGCCGTCCACGGCCCCGCTCTGGTCCAGAACGGCGGCCATGGTTGCTCAGACACCGAGTCCCGACGAAAAACCATCCATGGCCCGTAACCACCTGTTTTGTGAATCCTGCCCGCATAGTATCAAGATAAAGATGAGGGCCGCTCATCATTTTCTGCATTAAAAAATTCAAGAAATCGCCTTAGGCAGCATGACCAATGTAATAGTCGCAAATTGCAATATTGTTCCAGCGTGCAACGGTTGGCATAGAGGTTTATAGTACTTGGGCCGGATACAAGACAGCTATCCTTGAAGGCTTCAACGATGCAATGCTTACAGTTTGCATACTCTCACAGATGTAGGCAACATGGACGAAATCTCTATAAAGCTGCGCCTAACCTAGATCCGAATTGTCCGTTCATCCACCCTTTTTCACGCCATCTACGAGGACGAGAATAGGAAACTATTCAAGTATGAGAAGAAGACGAGCCCAAGGGTGCTTCTCTCCCTTGTAAACGGGCGGGCGTCCCCTGCGTCGCCGTCAACACCAGCGCCAAGGACGCGGAAAGCAAGGGGCCTACCGTCGAAAAGACGCAAGACGGCGAGTTAATAGCGGTGGCCAGCAAGAAATCCAAAGAAAACTTTAATCATCTTTTAAAAGAGTATAACTTTGGCAGCGTGGCCAAGCAGGATAAGCTGTACACTAAGCTAAGTACACGACTGCCAGAGTTTACCGCGCCGCGGGTTGACAGAATCGCCGGTTTTACCATCAAGATTGCCGGAGGTGCCCTGGCTGTAGCCGGCCTCGCCCTCTGCGGCAAAGCCGTGGCAGACGTCTTCTCCAGCGATGCCAGCGTCCTAGATAAAACCGCCGTCGTGACATCCATGTTGCCCGGAATTGGCTATCCCCGACTTGCCCCATGTTACAAGACACATCCAAGAGCACGTTGACAAGGCGAGAAACACACCCCTGCCTCTGTATAAAGAGCAAGTCAAGGCGGCCGTCAAGGAGGTGATGGAGCGCCTGGCAACGCCCGCTCCGGGCCAATGCGAGCAGGGCAGGAAGAAAGGCATGTGCGAATTCGGGGACTGTTAGGGTCCCAAACTTGAAGGCCACCCCTGGGATGCGGGCGGCAGAGTATACGTGACCGACGTGCCGTCTCTGGAAATGGCCCAGAAAGTGTCAAGTCTATATCAGAGAGCTGCCAGGCCCTCTTCACGACATATCAGGGTCCAGGCTCGGCGGGCGAAACGGGCAGGCCCCTATGGTGCAAGCCGGGCTAGGACGTCCCGTCATTGATCACAATTGTACATATTCACCAGACCCTCGGCCGAGGTGCGTCCCGCAAGTCCCCATGTAGTACGTAGGTTCTTATACAAAAGACGCGGCGTGGACTGCTTGCATCCCGCCCTCCCTATTCTAAACACCTAAACCCGATGCATCGTCAAGCATGACCCCGTGCCAAAAAGAAAACGGAAAATGCCAGTATTCGCTGCTATATTTCAGCTACCTACCCCCGCTGGCCCAAGCACAGCGTGGTATTCCAACTCCGCCACCCATTTTATATGTCGAGGTATCATTAAGCGTAGCATACAAAAAACTTTTTTTTTCCGAAAAGGGACACCCACTAGCTCGCATTGCAGGGGGGGAAACGACAAAGCCGCACCTCTACGCTGTTCCCATTTATCCGTCTAATCCAGCACAACGACTTCGTTGCCCTGCGTCACACCGGGTCCACTGGTTATCGTGCTCCGAATCGCTTCATCCACAGCCAACAGCATCTTCACCACGCCGTCTTGCGGGCGACCAGCTGCGCCCGTGGAGAGGCCGAACCAATTGTCGCCTCGTTTGTTCCAGATAGGTTGCAAGGCTGTGGAAACCCTGTCGTCGGCGTTTGGTTCGGCGTCGGATCGCCAAACGTGCCACCATGCCTGGCTGCGGCGGGGCTGCATTTGTACTTGCAGCCGGATAGGGTTCTTGAGTGTCTTGGCGTCTGATGTCATGGTGTATTCGACGCTCATCCAGGCCACCGTCTTCATGGAGAATTCTATACGGCCCTGCCCGGCAGCCTGAATTGGTTCCCATTCCGTTTCCATCTTGTCGATGGCCTGGAGCGCCGGCAGCGACGCAGGGAGCCACGCAGTCAAGACCCCAATGCCGCCATCACTATTGACCAGCTGTCTCATCAAGTCGAGGACCCGGAGATGGGGATTACCCTTCTCAATTTCGATGTCAATGTCATCCTTGGACAGATCCAAAACCACACGCCAACGCTTGCGCGAGTCTTCCATGACCTGGTCTGCATCGTTGCTGCTCTGTTTGGTCTGAAGTTCGCTGTAATAAAATGTTATTTGCCGTAGAGTCACTGACTCGGTGGTAATGGTGCCATTGGCACTCTCCAACGCTTCCAAAAAGTTGACGAATCGGTCAATGGCCTTGATTCGTGACTTGAGCGTATCGAGTATAGGCCTGCCTACTGCGCGTTGTATACGCAGGGCGAACTCGCCTCGTTTGGGGTTGTAAGATACATCACGGTCCGCGAGACCGTCGAGCGAAGCAAACTTGGAAGGTTTCCTAACCTTGAGGATTGCTTCCGATGTACAAATAAGCTCGTTTTCTTTGCTTCCATCATCAGCGTTTTCAGCCTTTGATAGGCATCTGATGCCCCTGAAAGTAATGCTGACAATGTTGTCTGCCCACGCCTTCTTTCGCACCAGGACAGCACCGGACGCCTGCTGGATAAGTGACAGAAGCTCCAAGTTACTGAGTTGCCCTTCGCTGTTTGACAAAGCGTCCTCCTCTGGCTTGCTCTGGTCAAAGACCATGGAGGGAAACAATGCAGAAAGTGCCACATCGGTTGATGGCAGTCGCACTGTTTGAGATGTCGACAAGCTAATTCTATTACTTGACCTGCTCTTAATTTTCTGTCGGTGCAATTCTCGGAGGTCGACTGATTGGGCAATAACTCCGGTGGTAAAGAATGCCAGATTCTCCCAGAAAACATCTGACAAGTCGGGGTGGCCGTTGTTGAAGGGTAGTTTTGCCTTGAATCTAAGTGTTTTGCTTGCCTCGTTAG